GACCCATAATAATGCTGGTCTCAGAGATGTGCTTTGCTTTACCCAGAAGCAGAAACCTTCTAAAGAGAAAATGCTTTATGAAATACTCAATGAATGAATCCTGCAAACCCTTCCTCGTTTGAGCAGTCTCACCAATATCATCTAGCATGATATAACATGAGCTGGACAGAAATAGGAATTACCTGTCATTATTTAATATTCTTTCCATGTTTACGTCAATTTATCCTGTTTGCTATTTGCAATTTCAAAGTACATTTTTTAACTGTTATGAAACAAATGTTGAGAACATAAACATGGGGGGGTAGGAAACAGGTACAATATTCTGATATAAATGTATCTCCCACTATGGCAATGCTGGTAAAGTACTTAGCCTGTTCAATTAAGTGCAGAACCCTTTTTTCCTCTTATAACAAGTATGTATTTTGTGAACATACTTTGTACTTGTCTTTTTAATTCTACGAAATGTAAACTGCGTGATTAAAGTAAAAGGAAGTATTTTGGAAAACAATGCCAGAGCTCAACTTGCAGGGCATTTTAATTTAATTGCCTGCCTCTGCAACGCATCTCGCTCTTGGTAAGGCACATGTAATAGGGGGTTATTTCATAAGCAGGAGAAAGCATACAGCCAGGAAGCGACAGAAGTTTTAAAAGTACATGAAAAGTAGATTGCTTCATTGTGTCTTTGTAAGAGTCACTACTCAGTATCTCCTCCCATCAAATGTGAATTTCAGGGACATTCATAGTCAAAGAAACACGAGGACTTCTGACTGTAAATGACAGTCATTTTTATTTCAAGTGTGGCCAAAGCAAAGCAAAATGCAACGCTCCTAATTCTGTGTAGTAAAATATTTGTGTATGTTTCTTTTACCGGAGTTTAATCCAAATATAATATTTATAGAGTAAGAAAATAATTTATATATAGTTTTGGGTTAGTTGAATCTCAGGTAATTTGCTACAAAATTAAACTGCAGTGTCTTGTTAAACTTACTGAGATACTGAAATGAATGTGATTTTAAGATAAGTATGAAAATGGGTTTTGGTGTCTTTCTCCTTCATTGTTGACTGTATCAGGCCAGATCCTGAGCAGATCTCAATGTCAACAGAACCAGCTCCACTTCTAGCAGCTCTGGACATGGTCCTGTACCTCAGGAATCAATGGATAGGTCATTGTGTGATGTACTTTGGAAGTGTAAGTTAATTTCCTATAGGTTATGGTTTTATTACATGATCTCATGTTACATATACATTTCGTTAATACTAAAAGCTCTCAAGTTGTATTTCACACTTGGAAGAAAAAAGTATAGAAGACAAAATGTCATCCGATTTGTACTGTGTTTCATGTTCCTATGCCCAGTGGGAGGAAAAGAAAAGTAATAGAACAGACAAATAAATAAACGTGGTGTTGAAACTGGCATGACAGTTTCTGCCTTTGCGCAACGGAACTGCAATCAATTTATTGTCTTCATTGGTCAAATGCCAAAATAACAGTATAATATTATACAAGAGTAGATTAATTAAAGTGTAATTAGAATGGAATAAATTAAATAATAATAAAAGTTTGTCATGGGAAAAATATGTGTTTAGAATTAATTAGTTTTCAAATAAAGTGATATTTTAATTGCTCAGAGTTACAGAATCCTTAATTGCAGACATATAATTCTGGCCCAAATAACTTCAGTTGCTGTAACAACTTGATATATTTCTTCTCTGTCAATTCTTTTTAATAGTTTGTTACTAAACAAGATTATTGCAGGAAATGTCTGCTAAAATGTCTGGAAGATGTTTAATTAAGCCCATGCTATCTGAGGACGTTATTAGCTCTTGGAACCAAAAGATTTGTAGCTGATGCTGCACTGTGCAGCACCCCTAATTAAGGAGGATGGGCAGACAGAGCCCCGTGGCTGACAGATTGCTATGCATGGCTGAACTAGAGGCTACTCAAAACAGTCTTTTGATGGTCCTTGGCTTATCAATTTTCTGCTAGATTACAATGATTTATCAAGTGTACAAACTTAAAGTCATTTTAAGTCTGATGGTACGGCATAGAGACAGTTGTATAAATACTTCTTTTCACTTGTGCATATTCATATTCTTCTATTTTTCAAAGTGATTAGGTTTTCTTTTTTTTTTTTTAAATTAATTTTATGGAGAGTGTGTTGCAGAGCTGAAGTACTATGGGCTTTTATGCCTGTTTTATTTCTCCAAAGGCGGCTGTCTGTAGTTATATCCTCGTACTTTACCAAGCAATTAATGGTTTCAGAAAGTAAACCAGATGGGTGTCTTTTCCCTCATCTGCAAAACAAACGTGTTTATGAAACACTAGAAGTTCATCTGTTTCAGCTGTATTTCATGCTGTATTTTAGACTCCCTTAGTAAAAGCGAGTGCAATGATACGTTAGGCAGGGGCTCTCACGTTTTCAGACCCCATGTTTTTGGCATAAACATATCCGTGATATTTGGCTGTCTCAAAAATGTTTACTTCAGTAAGATTTGCAATGCCCAAAATGTTTAACTGTGTTAAAAAAGGTCAAGCAGCTGATAGCTGAAGGCGAATATGTCAGAGTGAAAGACTGAAAAAAAATTATCAGTCCGACACAGTGGGAGTATTAGAATGATTAATGTTTATGTTAATTTATGGCTTTTACATATTGATTAATAGCTTTTTGTTTCAGTGACCAAAATGTGTAAGTGGCAATGAGATCCATATGCTAACTCAGTGTCTTTCAAATAATTATAGTCATTCTTAGTTTTGTTCCCATGCTGAATCTATGTTTTCATATAGAAAATAATTATTGTACAGTGACTTTTTTAAAAATTGCAGATGGAAGTATTTGAAAGTGAACCTCAAGACACAAGCCTGGGTTTCAGTATTCCTGAAGGTTACACACTTGACATTTATATACATTTTTCTTGCAAACTTCATTACATAAAATCAAAATATATTGTGGTTTAGCCTCATTCAGTTAGGGGATGCTTAGAGACAAAAAAAGGTGCCAACACTGTGAGGAGCCATTACCTGAGTGGAAATCATTAAAAATGTGTTGCGTTGCATGATGGTTATTAGTCATTTTCTTTTCTGTTCCCATAAGATTTCTTGGCATATCACCAATTGCTGATAAGCCATTTTGTTTGCTATCTGTCCATTGACTATTACAGTTAAAATGTGGAAACTTCCATCATGCATTGTCTAAATGTCAGGAGAGCAGGTAATGTGGGGGAGCTCCTGAGAGAGGATGAACTCCTAACTTCCCTTAAAGTCAATGGGAAATGGAGGCTCTCAGCACTTCTCAAAATGAGACTTCTGAAGTGTTTTTCTGAGCAGGCAGTCACTGTTAAGTCATTAGAAATGATTTGGTGAGTATTTAGAATGAAAGCTCTGACAGCATTTAGCGTTCCCAAGCTCTAAAAGGAAGGACTCTTGTCAGCTGTGATGTTGCCTGTGTGGCAACAGTTTTATGGTATCAGTTAATAAAGGACTGGATAGCTACGTCATAGAAATCACTGCATTCTCTTTGACATTGATGTGTCTTTAACTAGCAAGTTTTGCAAGCGGGAGAATTCTATCTAGAAATCTATCTGCAGTATCTAGATACTGCATTTCCCAGTGCAAGCCCAAGCACACTAACAAACGCTTCCAGTCCCCTTTGTGATTTTTTTCTTTCTTCGTAATTTCTTTTTTTTAGTTTTGAAGTCGCATACAAAATACAAATATACATCACCGTGCTTAATCTCTACTTTGGTAGTCATAGGTAGGTAGTAAGTAATATGAAAAGTAACAAATTTAAGAAAATCACTTGGTTGACCTTACTCCTCAAAATCAAGAGTACTTTATTAGTACATTTTACCAGTTAAATCAGAAATTTCTGCTAATTCTAGTTTCTGCTTGATATCAATTTCTTGATTTAAGGATTTCTACTGATTTCTAATTTCCACTTGAAATAAATTATTTTTTAAATTAGCTTTAAAGAAACCATAGAAGTATAATACAGTTTATAACTTAATTTAGCACCAAAGATAGCAAAGGGAGCTTTAAACTGAAAGCTGCGGTGTTAGTTGACTGATGAGTGAATTTTCGTACATTCTGGGGCTCTGACCTTTGCAACTATTTGTGTAGGACTCCCACATCTCTTGATCTGTGCAGGCAGTTGCCGTACAAGCTTCTGCTGATTTTACTTTTACTAGTGCATGTTTCTGTCTTTGCCCACAGCAGACGTATCGTGTTTCGGGGGACTGGGGTACGAATGCGAAAAGCAGGCTGCCTGGCTTTTAATTTTGGATTCTAACCTAAGTGGCTGTTTCATTCTTCCCTAAGTGTTGTGTATGTGTTAGCTTGTTACAGGACACAAGGTATTTCTTTGTACAGTCAGTGACTTTTCACCTCAGGTGCAAAGAGATTTCTTCAGATGATTGTCTCGCAACATCCCTTTCCGTTGCCGACTTCCCTGTTTCAGTGTGTGCTGTCATTTTTTGATTTGTACATGCAAAATTAAAAGCTGGGCTTAAAAATTTGTCACAACACGTCTGAAGAATTGTTTACCAAACCATATACCATACACATTTCAGACCTTTTGTAGTCAATAACCTGTAAAAATTCACTTTGGCAGTCAGATGATGTGAACTTCAACTCATTCAACTTGTGCAGATTTGTCTGGCATCTCCCAATTATCTATGGAAATGCTACTCATTAAATGGGTTCTTGCAGTCCTAAACTCTTGTTCTCCGCTTCCTAGAATTGCCTCGTAACCAGGCAGCATTTTGTGTCAAGCAGGGACGTCTAAGATGTTTCCAAGTCCTGCTGTGTCCTGGCATAGTTCAGTGAGGGGAATCGGGTGCTGTTGGGACCCTCCTGATCTACCTTGCTCCACCAGCAAGGCGACAGTTGGCTGCATGAGAGGGGCCACGGAATAAACAAAATTGTTTGCACTGCACTATTAATTTGAGGAAGTCTTTTATTTCCACCGACTTCCTCTGCAGTCACAGCTAGTGACCCACTTCGAAAACACAGTCGTGCAGTAGAGCTACGCTGTACAACGTGGCAGAGCGTCACAAACCTTTGGAGTGAGTGCAGGTAGGCACAGAAGTGCAGGCTAAAAATGGGCTTTTGTATGAATGAAAAAGAAACAGCCTGGAAAGGGGGAAGAACGATTTCTTCACGTCTTTCTCAACTCATTCTGTGCTCCGATTTTTCCTTTGGGAGGGTGGCACCTGGTAGACTAGGAATTTTCAAAAAATAACAGGATTTCATATATCTGTTTGTGAGCACACCTGGATGTGTCGAATATTTTGCAGTAGTAATTATGTCTGCACACCTGCTGGTTTCAGTCCCAAATCAGTTTGCCAGACATGCCTAGAGAGATTTATTTCTCCTATACCTGAAAAAGCTCTTTTACCACTGAGTTTTTACTACTCTAAATAAGCCTAAAGAAAAAAGAAGAGGATTTTTTCTTGTCTTTGCTTGAGCCCTTGGTATCTCAAACTGAACTGTGGAGTTCGTAGGGGGAGGAGGGTGTTTGGATGATATTTTAATAGCAATTTGTTTTTGCCTCAACGTGTGATAGAAATACAAGTGACAGGAGTGGGAACAGGGGAGTTGCTGAATTCTGCTGGAATTTTTCCTGTGGGAATCTGTTAATGTTTTTAATTCTCTGAGAGATTTTTCTAAGGTAATCCTTTTGACATTTACATATTTTAAATGACTCTCATTAAATAAAAGCTTAACTTTTCTATATCAAATGCTGAAGTGATGATACTGGAATACCACTGCATAGAAATTCAAATGGTTTGAAGATTATTCTAATTGCAACCTAAATAAAGTAAGTTTTGTGAGGGATATCACTAGTGAATTGTTCTTTAAAATAACATAATTTTGGAGGAAATTCAATTGCTCTGGCATTTAGTAGAAGCATTTTTTTAGACAAAACCCTTTTCAGTACCTGATGGGTGGTTGTTTGCTAATTGAAACACTAATTTGAACAGCTGGGGCTTCCATTCCTCACTCGAGTAGCAAATATAATCTATGCAAGAGCCCAAGGGTTTGCAGTGCACCTTGTGAAAAACACTTTTAGTTGTCTGCAGTGGAGTACTCGTACTGGAGTGGAGCTCAGCCCCCGAAGGAGGATGCTGTTACCAGCACAGGGAAGGGCTGGAAGAAATAAAAATTGGAACATCTTTTAAAAAACCAGAGTGTGATGATGAGGTGTTGCATCTCTTAGTGGCGATACCCTCTTGCAAGCAAATAATGCCATAAGCAAAAAGATTCGTATCCTTTAACATCCTTTCACAGGAGGCAGAGTCATAGCATGAGGATATCTTAGGGAAAAACATAGAGTCTAGCCCTGAGATGCTTTTAAATGAACTTTTTTCTGTAGGTTGCACTTTGCTTGTTCAAGCCCTTGAGCCAGATTTTGCTCTCAGACCAGCCTAAATACTAAGCAAATTCATTTAATTAAATTTGCTGCAGATATCCCCAGTTAACAAGAACAGATTGGTCTCCCTGAGGCTAGATGGAGTTAACAAGAAAATAAATGTTGTGCTAATTAGAGAACTCATTTTCAGACACCTGGGGTGAAACTTTAAGAAGTCCTAGACATTGAGGATTGAAAATTCATTTGAAAGTGAGTCTTAGGCTTCTAATTCACTTGGGCACTTTTGCAAAATTTACCCAGGGGCTTTAACCATCGCACAGTCATCATATTTAGCATGTTTGTAGCTGGCTGCTTAGCGAAGCATGGTATAACCATTATCTGTTAGTATTCCACAATGTATTCCATTATCCCTGTCAGTAAAGTAGTGGTGTAGTGATGTTGAGCTACCTGGTGAGTTGGAGGTAGGCTAAGTGTCATTTTTTTGCGGATCCTTATGTGTCAACAGGAACAGATGGATGCTTTCTTGGAGTTTTTAAGGCACCGATGCACCGAATTTCCATCTATTTGCGACCTCATGGGACTTTCTGTTGATTTAGGTACCTAAGAACTTTTAATTAAATCTTGGTCTAAGCTCATGGATGAAGAAGACAGCACAGACACAATTTTATAGTCCAGCACTTGCTGGAAGAAAAATGAGATGCTTAATACTGTCACACTGCCATTCATCTGCTGAGTCATGATAGGCAGTAATAGGGAGTCATCTCATATGCCCAATAAAACATAACATAGGTTTAATATTAAGCCCAGTTTCCAGATTCATGTATCTGATTAGCAAAAAAGCAAGCGAAGAACCAGGTTCCAAGAAGCAAAAAGTCACTTCATTTGCTTACAGCTTGGAAGTACGTTTTCAGTTGTTGGGTCTTTTTCCTTGTAGCCAGTCAGAGGATTTTTCTGAAATATTGTCCTTGTAAAGACATGCATTAGTAGCATCTGTTTCATGCCAGGTAAAACCCTTCCCACAGCCACGCACACACTTGCTGTCTGTCAGCAAAAACTTCTGTGTCAGTAATTAGAAAAATGCTATTAAAAACCTGCCTTGTAATCCCAGATTGCCTCTGGGTTGACTCAGTTCTATTTTGTCTTCCTCGCTCAGTGCAGTAACCCAGAATTGTTCCGCCGTGACGAGGGACCCCGCTCCTCTGACAAGCCACCTAGCCGCTGTTTTATTTACGTGGTTCTCCAAAGTGTCATTCTGAGGGCAACAGCATACAGCTGTAGTGCCCACAGAGGTGACCTTTGGTGACAAAATCCTTAGTCTACCGGGTTGATAACACAGGTGAAGCATGTTACAGATGGGCATTTGGGAGCTGGATCTCACCGCGGGGGCAGACCTGCACATCATGCAATCATCTGAAAATTTACTCCAGCCTGTCTAGATCATCAGACATCACCAAACAGATGAGTCAGGACACTAAAACATGGAGGTTATCCACTGAGCTCATTCTTTTCATACCTAATTACACAGTGTTATTGAGGGAGAACTGCACATTATGCTGAAGAATCCTGTTTCATCACTAGTCCTAAAAGATAATTGTGTTTAATTAGGACCTATAGATACCATGGTGATTACTGATCTATAAACACTCAAGATAGACCTGCAAATGAGGTACCACAGCAAGTGCATCCATTAAAACAATTCAAAAGCTGATATTGAGGCGAGATGACAAAAGTTGAGCTGTTTTAATTTACCAGGTAACTTGTAGCTGTAGCACTCCGTTCTGATTCTCTACAATTCCTCTGCCGTGACCCAGCAGGCAGAAAACCACCTGCTGATCTTCCCTTACTGGAATTAGAAAACTTCTTGTTTAATCCTGTCTAATATATGCATGAATGGGAAGGAGTGATGAGAGCTGACATCTGTAGTGGCAAACGCCGTCCTTTTCTGTGCGAGGTCAGGTCAAAAAGGAAGAAGCACAAACACAAGCATGGCTAGTGATGTCACAGATAACGCAGTAAGAACTTTTCTTGGTGAAAACATTTCTTGTAATGCATGTTATAATGCATTTTCCAATGAATTCCAAATTGTACTTATGGTCAGAGACGCTGCTGGTTACCTTGTCCCAGCACAGGTCTGGAGGGTCATTTGCAGCAAGTCAGAACCTGTCCTTCTTTGGTGCTTGTGCACAACTGCCTGCAAAGGCATTAATGTGAGTGGAAATACGTGGCAAAGGTGCCAGATCAGTAAGAGCGTGCCTAATCAGATCATGCAAACTATCCCTGTGAGTTCATAATAAATCCTTCACGTTTCCCATGTTAGACAGGGCAAGGTGCTTCCCCAGGTACCTGTCCTGTTCTTTGCTGACTCAGACCACATTTGAACCAACGACACAAAGCTGAAATTTTTGGGGGAATATGAACCCCCTGGAATAAAATGTTTATCACAGTAGTCACTAAGTTAGTGTGAAATACTGCATTTCTTTTTTTCAAGTAATGGTGCTTGGAACAAAAATTCAAACACTCGGGATTCTTGTGTAAAAATGATCATAACTCTAATCTCACCTTGAAATTCTGTTCAGCTGCTATGTTCGCTGCAGTGCTTTTCTGTAAGTGGTTGTGAGTGGAAAGCACAGAAATAGTGTTTTTATGGGGAGGAAGGGGAAAGACTTGCCAAGGGGCTAAGCGGAATGATAAACTGCTTGCCCACTGAAATTACAGGTATCCAGTTTCTTGCATTTTGTAGCTCTTCCTTTTTGCGGCAGGGAGAACAGCCGAACAATTCTGTATTTACAAGTGCTCAAGAGCTGCATACATGTGGCCAGCTCAGCACTTACCTTGCTTAAAAAGGAATGCAGCAAAAAGCAGATCTGACAGCTGCTTGATCAGTCGATGTAAGAGGAAATGCTTTATAAGGAACTGTACAGCAAATAGAAAGAACATCCAATAATGGTAATTCAGTGAGGAAAGTAACCAGGGAAAGCACATGTCCTGATCAGAATGTATTTAAAGTTGTAATTTCACTTTAGGCTGCCTTACCCTCTGTGATATCTGTGTCTTCGTCTCACCTCCCAGTTCATTGCTTGATGGCTCTGCCACCTCCGGATCCGCAGTTTGTTCTCAGAGGTACCAGTGCTGCAGTCCACACTCTGCATTTTTCCTGTGCCAGCCAAGAACCCGATGTCCCCATTCTTTTCTCTGGGTAAGTAAACCAGGATTTCTGGCTGAGTTGAGCATACGGATATTTCCTTTTAAAATAAAGTGTATTATTTAGATAAATTGTGTCTGGGGAAAACGACAAAACGCATGATTGGTGAATGATGGGTGCGTGATCTTTCTACACACAGCTTCAGTTTGGGGTTAAAAAAAAAAAAAGGAAAAGTATCAGACTGTGTGCAGTGGTCACCATAAAAGCATCTGTTCTTACTGCCAGGTCTGAGAATGGGTTCATCCATGTCTGGAACCTGAAAACACACCGAGTGGACACAGCACTGGATGGCCACGGAAGAAAATCTGTCTACTGCGTGGAGACAATGGGTGGTAAAACCAGGCTCCTCAGGTTAGCAAAGCAAAGCCAGGGACAATATTCTTGTTTCTGCGAGGTACAGGATTGAAATAATAAAAAAAAGGAATCTCTTCTTTCTGGAGTCACTTAAAAGTCTCTCCAACACATACGGAAATGAAGAGAAGTACAAAAATACAGAAAAACTGTAGAACAAAAAGTGGAAAAAATTATACAGTTAATTTCTTTATGATGTATATGTAATGATGTCACAACTTGGGGTCCATAGTCTTATTACTGCATTAAGATCAGGTGAGGTTTTTGAGCAAAGGAATTACACTTGAAGTTAGGAAACACTTCATAGCTGGTTCTCAGGGAAGATCAAAACTGATGGAGTTTATAAATAGAGGGGAGAGGGAGAAAAGGTAAGGAAGGAAGAGTCAGAGATGGAGAATGGAAGACTGAAAATGAGCAAGAATGCTGAGCTGAACGCTGTTGCAAAATACCTTCTGTTCTTGTTCAGCACGGGAAGGTCGGGAAGATTTGTGTACTTTGGATTAGACAGGTGATCTAGAGTAGATGCCAAAGTGTCTGAATGACTTGGAGGTGTTCTGACATGTTTATCTAGAGAAGACATCTCTCATAATATACAGTGGAACTCATTAGCATTTATATTTGTTATCTGCTTAAGTACAATTATCAACACTCTCCCCCATAAAATCACATTGAATGAGCATTGTTTGTATAATTACAGAGTTTTTCCATGCCTCTATTTTTGCTGTATATTTGTAACAGTTCACATAGCAGTGCAATTTTAGGACACAGTTACCTGTATTTTCTGTTTCTCTGTTCTAAACCCGGATCACAACAATTTCTTGCAGTACCCCATTGTTTGTATGCCCAGTGCTATAAATGTTTTGACGGTTTGTCACTCAGCTGAACAGCAGGCGGGAGTTTCTGTACTGATGTTGAAGTCCCAACAGTCTGTAGATTTGCAAAACCTCTGTTTTGGTTTCGTTACTTCCATCAGGTGATACTGCTAATTAAAATAAGAAATGGATAAGGGCTTGTGATGACTCCTTGTCCCAGGTGATAACGTGACGACACGTATTCTGTGCTCTGCAGTCTGTGGATTGGAAGCTTCTCCACAGCAGTACTTTGTCCCAGAGCCAGTGAGATCACATAAATGTGCAGCAGTTGACGCTGTGCCCTTTGCCAGGCCTCCTTGGTCTCACTGTCTGGGACCCGCGCATGGGCTTTTCTGTGGGGCGCAGAGGAGCCTGAGCTGCACTAGTGCATCGGCAATGCAGCCGCTGGTTCTCTGGTTTTGGGTGTTTTAACCACAGCATTTCATTGTTTAATTCCTGCTACTCCCTGCACCGCCAGTCCCTCTCCTGTCGTAACAGCCTTCTGTGCCTCCCTCTGGCTGTGGGAAGTTGACCACTGAATAGCTGTAGCTTTTTATTTATCTTCAATGTGGTCTTTGTTGTCTTGCTATTTGTCTTTCAGCTGTCAACACACCTGACATTTCTATTTCATTGCTAGGGTGAAAGAGTATTAAATGTGTTACTCTCTGGATACTTTTGTTTCCTTTTAAATTAGATCTGAACGATGGTAAAATGTAAGTATTTTTATTATGAAAATGTTCAAATACTCATGAGATTTCATAAATATGTACGCCCATATAAATAGCATAACTGTGTGATCAAGCCTCTCTCCACAAGGGAACGTGGCTAACTGGCTGCAGTGTACCCCATAGACTCTCGGGCCCTCCCTCCTCCCGGTAACTTTGGAACCTATTGGCCAGTTTTGCACTCAGTGGAAGGGTGGTGGTCTCGGTGGTACCGAGCTCCCACACGTTTCAGGGAAGACCCAAGCAGTGCCCCCTCAGAAGCTCATTCCTTCACTGCATGTTAAAGAGCGAACTTTGAGACATCAACCTGCAGGAAGCCAGGCTTCCTCAGACCCGCTGCTCGTGGATAACTTGTTTTACTGTAACAGTCAGGGTCGTGACCAGAGGATCTGCTTGTGGGACTTAGCAGAGGGACGGACTTCAGTGACAGATTCTGTCTTCACGGAGAATGTGGGATTCTGCAGATGCTCTCTGTTAAAGGTGGCACAGGGACGCTGGCTAATGGCCACGGCAGCCAAAGCCCTGGAGGAGGTAGGAAGTATCTCTTTCTCTGGTGCTTGGGAGATGGCTTTTGGTCTTGAAATGAGGTTGTTCAGAAGGCGAAACATCATTGCTCTCAAATTCTCTGCTCAAGAGGGGCCAGCATGAGGAACCTTTGGGGGTTCTAATCGCTAATTTTACCTGCCAGAAAGACGACTGAATTGTATAACTCATGCTCTAATAACAAGGATACCACCCCAAGATTTGTCTGACATTTAAGTATTTGCAGCTGCTGCTGGTCTTTCATGTGCAGGAGTTTTGAAAACTCCTCTGGTGCTGCTGAATACTGTTAAAGGGGAACAAGAGTCCTTCTGGGGAACTAATGGTCAGAAAGTCTGTCATCAGGTGGAGGTACTCGTCTTCCATCTGAAGCTGAAAGTCATGTTTGGTGAGAGAAGGGGAGGTGCAGGTGATTTGTAACGCGATAGCTGGTCTTTCACCCCGGGCTAATTCTTTAACTGGTACTTTGGCTGGAAATAGCTGAATTACTGTTAGCGACCAGAGCTTTGCTCAGTGTGAGATAATGGCAGGGTCCCTTTCAGTTCCTACTGGGTAAGTCCACACCTAATACCCATTACCACAGCAATCACTAACTGACAGCGGTGTTGGCAATTTCCACTTCTGCTTTGTAGAAATCCTATTTTTGTTTTCTTTGAAGGACTATTTGAGGACATCGCACAAACATAAATTATTTCAAATACTTGACATCAAAATAGCAAAAATATGAAAAAAGTGGCATAAATATGAAAAGAAGTACCATAGCTAATTGCAAATTGTTCGTCAGCATAAAAGGTCACATGCTTTTCTGGACTATAGGATGCGTTGTCTTGAAACTGAAAGTTGGATATTCTATATATGAAGCAGTAAGTGGGAATGGTGCCTATATTGCAAGAAAATGTGAACTTTTTATTATTCAGAAGTTAAGCACATATTTAAGTATTTTGTTGGCTCACAACCAGAACGTTCAGCCTAGTACAGAACTGAGTAAGCCTGTAGACACAGCCACTGTACCAGTAAACGCAACCACTCTACATCCCGTACGTTGTTCTGATCAAACAAAGAACTCCCTCCATTTTACAGCAGTGCGCAGTAGAATTTAAGTTAAACAAAATTGACAAGTGCATTCTTGTGTCAGCTGGAGAAGAGGTCTTGTGTCAGGCAAAGAGTACACACGCATTCTGGTAGTGAAGAATTAAATAATCATCTGAGCCAAAGAGAAGACGTTTACCCCGATGTCTCTTACAACTCATCTCTGCTTTATTTTCATTTGTTTGTCTGGGCCCTGCAAACTGATAATGATTTGCTGTCTCCCGAGGTAAAAGAGTTCCACTTGGTGTATGAACCTTCACATTAGAACTGTGTCAGGTTTCAATAAATTCACATAAGCTCCCATAATATATAGCGCTTCCAAATAGGCAGCACTGTGTGAGACACAGTACATTTGCAGCTTATGATTAAAATTAAGACTTAATAAGTGTTTATGCTTGGCTGGTGCCCAAAAAAAGAGTAATTTTGTCTTAAAGCAGGTTCAGTCCATAAATAATGAGATCTGAACAGGCATTTATTTGTTCATGATTGCATTTAAATCACCAATTATGAGTTACATGCACTTTTCTTGCCAATTTGCCAGAAACATGTTAAAAGCTTTATTAATGTGAAAAAGAAAAAGGGTGTGTTTCCTTGTGGCCAGTTTTAGCCACCCAGGAACACTATTAACCTCAGGCAAAGGCAAATCTTTCTCCTATTAAGCAAAACCAATATAAACACAGAACTTCAAGTTTTAGGTTACAGTTGTCAAAATATATGAAATAGTATTTCTTTCTAAGGCTCAGTTGCCTCTAATGCAGACAGTCTCTGGAACTGTCAGTCCAGCACAGGCAGCTCATGCCTGCCTGCTTCTGCAAAAGGCTTTTCTCATCTTTGTGTTTTTCTTTGTCCTTTGCAAGCCCAGTTGTGCCCTTGTACCAGTTCATCCATTTTTAATCAAGGTAAAGTGAAGGAGATTTGGGGTTATTTTAACCCGCAGAAGTGCCTTTATCACAGTGCGCTTATCCTTCCTTATTGCCTAGAAGTTGCGGTTTCAGTCTTGTCTAGGAGGCAATGCCCTTTGGACAGCCGGTGATGAAAGACGCAAGATGAGAACAGGTCATCTTCATATTTATAGCCCATTTTCTGCAACAGCTAACTCGGCCATGATGCTGATAGCAAGAGAGTTGCCAAGAGAAAAGCATCTTTTGTTAGGAGTGTATCTCCGAAGAACCAGAATTCCCAGATGACCGAACTTTACTCTGTTCATAGTTTTGGTCTACGTATCGGATGGCTCTTTGCTGTAGTCTCCATTCCTCAAACCTGGAGAACAGTTTCCTGCTCCATTGCTAAGTGGCTTTAGAAAGTGTTCTGTATATTGTGTTCAGTACGTTGTCGACTTGCGGTCCTAGCATGCAGCTGGCTTTTGGCAGGCCAGCTGACAACCTCTAGAAATAGGAAGATGTTCTGGCAAGCTTTGAACTAAAGGTATGGGATTGGAAAGCCATCGCAGCTGCCGTGGCCTTGACTGATGGCTCCCAGAGGAGCCATATTTGTGTAATACCTCATCTCAGATGCTTAAGGAAATTCGCATGACTGGGGCTGTCCAACAGCACTGCTGGGCTTTTGTACATTCTGAAATAGCCTAGAATGGCTGGTGATGCTGGAGTTATCCGATGTCTGAAGTCCTTTAATTTTACGAGACAATGCAGACCATTGTTTATTTAATTAAAAGATCACCTTAGTGTTTAAGTATGCATTTGAGAAACAGGGATGTTCCTGGCAGCAAGTTTTTGATACCTAAGAACTTCCATTTTTCCACAGTTTCCAGCTTGACAATCAGCCCAGAGTGAGGCACTTCCATGTCAGTCGAGAGACTCAAAACCTTCCAGTACCAAACTGCAGAGGCAGACTCCCCTGATCTTGCCTGACATCATCCTGAGGTGGAAATGAGCAGAGGAAAGACTTGCCCCATGCTAAGAAAAAAAATAATAGTAATCGGATCCATAATTCGTGACCATCAGTGCAAGCAACAGTGGAAGCTGCTATGTAGACAGAGAGCAGGTGTTTAACACAATATTGTCTGACCTTGCTTTGAATAGGGTCAGACAATATTGTGTTAAAAATACCTGTACGCCATCACTGCTCCAGCCTGCATCAGCAGATAGTTCTGGGTTTACCTTCTGTTAGTGCAGCCAGCCAGTAAATAAAAAATGCACCTTAGAGATATACATTGCCTGTATTTCCACACAAGCTCTGTGTTACCATGACAGAACAGAGGAGACAATGCAAGTGTCCACAAGCCAATATAACAGAAAAATTAGTAACAGAGATGGAAAAAGGGGAAAGGGAGAGGAAGCAGGGAAATGTTTTCAGATTAAGCCGTCTACAGTATTACCTAGCGTATGCACAGCATCATCTACTGTGCAGAGAGGAGACGCTAATACAGATCAAACAGAAGAGTGGAAGAGGAGGATGTGTTCATTCTAGCAGTTTTGTCTGGTCTTTCCTAAAACAATGTGTTTATTTAGATAGCTGCAGATTCCCCTACACTCCCACTTAACATGCATTCCTCAGTTTCCTGCAGACAGTTTTTACTGGAAGAGCTTATATTAGCCGTAATCACCTTAGAAGACTTGTGTTTTTAAGAGCAGAATTTTGACCTGGAGCCTGACCAAATACTCTTGTTTTCCTGATGTCAGGTTCAGGTTTTGGAGCTGCCATCCAAGACGTCAGTCTGTACCTTGAAGCCAGAGGTGGGTGCCAAGCTGGGCATGCCCATGTGTCTGAAATTATGGCAGGTAAGGCAAGAGCGCCTGCTAATTGTGAAATGTTTTCCCTGTGATTCATTTTATATGAAGCACATGAATCTTTCTTCACTTGGATTTTGATTTATTATCAAACCAATCAAGTAATTATACTATTAACGGGGGGAAAGATTTGTGAACATCCCTAATGTAACTTTCAGAGCTTTCCAAGCTTTAATGGAAGATTTGCAAATGCTCAGAGAAAGCTTTGTATCCTTAGGATAGATATGGGTTTTGCATCAATCAAGAGGAAAACGAGTGACTTACCAAAGCCAGTTGTTTGATATGGTTTCTCGCTGCATTAAGAATGATGAGAAATGATCGGGTTACTTAAAAACAGTGATTTTAATGGCAGGTTACATTCACTTCAGTGCCCTCAGGGCACGGAAGCACTCTATGAACATTTCTATTCCAGACATACAATAGGAACAAAATATTTATGGTTGTATTGACTGTAGACAAAGAGGTAAATAAAAGCAGTTAAATGAAAAACCCCCATTTGCAGGGTATTCAGCAAATAACGTTCATGGGGTGCCACCAGTGAAAGACAAGTAATACAAGAAGGTGGCAGCAGAGGAAGGAGGTTAGGTGATTGGCTCTGCATCTCTAGAGTTGGTGGCAAAGCTGATTCCCACCCCCAACCACATGTGGTTATAGGTCTGCAGTACTGTCTGAGCTGATTTCAAGTACGTTATTCCTGCAAGTTCATCTGAACATTTGAAGTTCAGTGAAGTATTGGTTTAAGTTGAAAAAATTATGAATCAGCTGTCAATTTGAGGCCTTAGTGTCTTCACTCAAGGTCCTGAACCAACTGAAGTCTAGAGGAATTCAGTTGCTGACTTCAGACAAAAGTAGGAGACGCCACAGTTCAAGTCCCATGGTGTAATTAAAAACTAGGGAAAAAAAACAGGAAAATGAAATAGACTGATTAGGCTTTTATTAAACAGTTTCTCCTAAAAATGCAATCAGTGTTCAGTACTCAATGAAATGAATGGGGCTTTCTGTCTCGTGGACATATTTTAATAAGATGAAGATAACTGAGGAAATGTTCAGTGTTGAAAATTTTGTTGCCTGTATAAAAAGTCCTCTGTCTTGCCCTATTTTCTACATGCATTAATATTGCTATTCCTCTAGGAAGCAGAGCAGGTGCAGAGTCTTAATTTTATGTAGTTTTTAATTTTGTTGCCAGTGGGGATAAAGCAGGGGACTGGGAACTGGGAGAGGTAAATTATTCCATGCAAATTCTGGCTTTGGGAAGTCACCACAACTTCCTAGACTGCAGCAGGCAAGGATAGATAATCCCTTATAGCCTCACAGCTGTATTTGCTCTTTTACAAATGTGTGCAACTCGGTTTAAAGGCATGGGGGGAGGAGGATACTCTTAAGGGCAAATAATTATATGTGGTGTACCAAAGCGATGCTCCGCTTTCTGTTTTGTGGTTTCGCTGGAAGTGGCTCACTGAGTAACCCTGTAACCATAAAAGCAGAAGAACACGAGCTAACCCAGCTGCACCCCTTCCTGAATAGAGGCCATCCAGGATTTCTTTGTACGTTTCTGCATTGGGCAATATAGACATACCCAGGAGATGAGCACTCCCCAGCCCATTGCTTATGGGCAACCTGTTGCCTAAGAGACTGTTTGATGTTGCTTATGGCACAGTAAATTAACAAGTTGAAACAGAAGCTGACATGGAGAGAGCCACATAATGGGCTGAAGGAAGTATGCTCAGGGTTGTCCAACAAGAGATTGGGGGCTGCAGCCGTGTATCATCATATTTTTCTGCATGCCAATAAAAAAGATCCACGGATCAGGGAAACAACGCGCCTCACCAGCAGCAGTGCGCATTAGAAACTTTACTGCAGAGACGGAAATTGAGGCTTAGGTTAGACTCGTAGATTAAGCCTCACTGGCTTCTCCTAAGCAGTTACAAAGCTGGCAGCTCTTTATTGTGTTGGGTTGAAACTTTTTTCCCCCCTCATTTTACTAGGTCTGTCTTAAATGCAATAGTTCATTCAATGGTTTTTCTCCTTATGAAGGTTCATATTCTTAAATACATTGTCCCTTCAGCTTCACACCTTCCTGCTATTACTAATGGGGTGGGGTAGGATTTGCAGGCGTAAGGATAGGCTTCCCTTAAATTTTTTGCACTCTTTGGGGAAGGCATTGTGTTGCGTAATGGTGCAAACAAAATAATTCAACAGGAATAATACATGTAGAAACTGGAAACCCAGAGTTATTACTTTATATAAACTATAGCAATTATTCTTGTTGAGTTGACAGCAGATCACCTTTTCTTCCTTCCTTGACAATTATCCAAATGCAACAACAAAATGTTCTGCTTAGGAAGAACAATGATTTATAATTTAATTTTTCCACTGAACAGAACATGAATGGTGGAGATGTTTCACCGGAAGTGTCCTTTATTAGGAACCGAAATAAACCACTGCTTCTGGTTGTCCAGGCATCAGACTGAGAGCTCACCTGATCTTTCAATAGCTTTTATTGTTTAAGTTCAAGTATATGTACTCATTGAAATATTACACTTCACATGGTTAGGGAAAGTCAGGAAGAAGAAGTGTGGGACACCTCCTTTTCATAGAAAACAATACTTTGTTTTTAAAATAGGCCAGTCTTAGATCTCACCTGCAAATCACTGGTTTTCAGATCTAAGCTAAGACACCCACATCACAAAAAGACAAAAAAAAAAAAAAAGCTTTTGCTTGGCATTTCCCATAATGCTGAGCACTCGCCCGTCGCTCTGATCTTAATGAGGGTTATGCGCACCTACGACAACCCGGCCATCCCATTTTGAGCAAGGCAGAGGAGCCGACCCTGCCCATCCGAATGCTGTTTCACTGGTTAACGAAAGCTCTGCCTTCTGTCGAGCCCCAGGGCTCCGGAGGAGTCGTGTGCTCACAGAAGAGCAGTACAAGTAATCGGGGGGTGGCTTTATGCCCAAACTGGGGGCTTTACTTAAACTTAATTGAAGAACCTATGAAATACTTTGTTGTGCTTTGAATGTTTTACCCTTTATTAAATATAATCTGGAATGTTAGCTTCATTCAGGTTTTTTTTAACTTTTTCCCTGGTTATTAAAAACCAGGTACTCTTCATTCCAACATACCTGATGAGTTAACATTAATTCACATATATTTGACATTTATTTATTGCTCTGATGTTATACTATTTTAGCAAATGAAAAATTTGACAAAAAAAAAAGTCATGCACAGTTCTAGGTGTTATGAGACACCTTCTTTGCGGGCCTTTCTAGCCAGAGCGTGCTCCCTAACTTTTCAAAAGGGGTCTTAGGGCAAGGACTGAGGCTCTTGCAGGACCCCAGGTGGGGGCAGACCTGTTCAGAAAGATGATGTAGGGGGTTGCCCCTTGGTTTCCTTCTTTTAAGGGGCAACTTTCTTCCCTGCTCAGTAAGATCCATTCCTCATTTAAACACTTCTTTAGGCTGAATAAACCTGAGAAAGAACATGAGGCTTTTACTCAGCAATCTTACTACCTAGACCACCCATCTCTTGTTAGTTTAACTCCCCCTAGAACAAATAATAATCAGTGGGAGAATAGTCTGGACCATTAATAGTGGCCACTGGCCACTGCAGGTTTGTATCATGACATTGACAGCCAGCGAGTTTGAAGAACCTCCTTCAACAATGTGATGCCAGTAAAGATTAATTTTTTAGAAATCTCCTTTACCTTTATTTTGAACTGAATACCAAGCAAATGGAATCCTGTAGGATCAGGCGGTGTTTGGAAAGAGCTGAATAAGCTGTTGGATAAATTTCTTAGGGTGAGATGTCCCTGTGTGAAGTGGTTGTAATCCCAATGTCTATTTTGGTGTTTCATCTCCTGTTGAAGAAATCACTGGCATTAACACATGCCTGGTTTTTAGTTGCTTTCCATTAGGGATTTGCATCTTCACTCACATAACCAGTTACTGCTCACGGGGTCATTAGTCTTTTGGCTGGAGCAATGATGAATATTTTCCTTAAGTGTGACATGTAATCCAGTAATGTTCCCTTCTTTGAGTTATTTCAGAGGCTTAAATAAATTAGGTGTCTGCCCAGGGTGCCATGCCCTTTGGCCTGTGACATCATTAATCAAAATAGCTTTCAATTGGTTACAGTGGGACTCGGGCACCCGTTAACCCCTTGGTGACTCACCCAGAGATTCCTGACGAGAGGTTCAGTGTTTACCTTTAAGCACTGTGGTGCACTTGGGTAAACGATCCGTGTGTAACCCTACACTTGGCAATGTGAAACTGGACTCTTGAAGCATGGCACTTCTTTCAGTGTCCATACGCGTTTGTATAGCTCGATAGTAACTCAGCTGCTCCAAGTAATATTTTTTAAAGGAGCGCAAGCAAAGTTCAGGCCATGAAGTAAAACTTCTGAAAATTTCAGGCAGCCTTTTTTCAGACCTTGTAGAGGGCAATAGTTTGGATTTTCACAGAGAAATTTTCTGTACGTGTGTATATATATGTATGTGTTAGATACGTAATACATGTATATAAAACATGGACTTTTATATGTAGATATAAAAACCGCAAACGTGTGTCAGCAGTTACCTAGTAATGCTTTTTGTAAGTGGATGGACTATCGAGATCTGACAGTCAGACTTCTAAACTTTTCATTTTGATGCCAGTCAGCATTTTCATTTATTTTCTTGGTGCTTGGACAGAAACCTACCTGGGGATGATAATTTTCCTTACAGACTATTTACTTCTCAAACAATTTTACTTTTCTTTTGATCAGCTCAACTGTGGTTCACAACCTTTGCTTCTGGCCGGCTATGAAGATGGATCAGTGGTCCTTTGGAATTTGTCAATGGGAAGAGTGTTGAGCCAACTTGTTTGCCACCAGGAGCCAGTGATGAGCCTTGACTTTGACTCGGAGAAGACCAAGGGGATCTCAGGCTCATCTGAAAAGGTGCTTAGCATCTGGAGCCTCAATGAGCAACAGAACCTCCAGGTCAGGATCATTGGCCCTTTAGTGTCATTTATCCCACTTTGCACTAACAGTTTGATAGACTAAAAAAATATTTAGTCATGAAGAGGAGTTGTTGCAGATCTCTAGCTAATTAATCACAGACTGGTTAGAATGTCTGTGCTATGTGACTGGACTTAGCAAAAGATGGTGAGGATTTAAAAAAAAAAAAAGAACAAAAACCTCTCTCACATGTTTCTGGTTTTACCAAAGTTGCAACAGGCACACAAGCCCAGCATTACTCAAGCCATTGCCTCTGTATCTTCATTTATCACGTTAGTAGTATCCAGCGCTTGGAATGTCCTAAACGTTATAAATGAGTTATAAAAAATGAGAAACAAAGGATTGCTTTTCCAAAGGTTCTGCTTGAATGGATTGAGCTTTCTTTCCACTGTGGGAAAGACAGAAATACTCCATGAAATACTTCACAAACAAAAAGAGCTGGAGTAGCCCAGCTAGCACCAAGAGGACGTGAGGTTTAGGCAACCAGCTTCCTTTGGCACCTTTAGAGCCCTGGCCAGAGACAGGGAAAATAAGTATCAGTTTGTGTCTGAGCTATGCATACCTGGAACGGCTGGTTTAGAAGGAGGGCTCAGTTCAGTCTATGCTAGTGAATGGCAATAAATATTGCTTAATCTAGACAACTTTAGCAAGTGTTCCAACAGTGCCAAGGGGTTAAGTAGGTTTTAACTAGGTGTGGAGATGAAGCGCATAAATAAAGGCTTGTGAAAATTAAAATGGCCCATGCATAGCCTCTCCACTGCTCAGTGCTTTAACCTTTTCTAAAGTGGCAGTTGGCCTCTGAACACGCAACGGAGAGGACCTGAACCAGCCCCTGTGTGCCCCCATATCCTCCTTGAGAAGACAGCTGCTGGATACACCAAGTCATGGAAGAACAACCACCAGTCTTCCAGCCTGTAGCTTTTGTGGTGATTTTTTAGGTAGTGTGGCAAGTTAATGCTGTTTTCTGATGGTGCTACAGGACTCGTCACCTGGGGCGCCACTGTGAAGGTATATAATCTGTTAGGCATCACCACACAATTAGCATTTATGGAGACCCCAGGCATGAAGACCCCAGTGTGTGTAGTGTAAATGCATCCAACTGAGATGAAGTTTGGAGGACACAGCACTTACCAAGAACATCTGAACTTTAATAAGCAATACAACATGAAGTAAAAGAGGCAGTCTAGACTCTGAATAAGTAGCAAAGGCATTCTAAGCCAATGTGATAAAGAAGAATTTTAATAAGTCTGATACACAATTGTCATGGTTTGGGCTTTTTTGCCATGTTTGCCCTGCCCCAGCCTTTCGATCACTATTGGCACACATCTGCACCTGGTGTCCTCAGCTCAGGGAAGCAGAAGGAAGGTAAGCAGACAAGGCCCCATAAGAAACTTGGTATTGAGACTAGTTCTCTAAGGCCAAGGTGTCAGAAATCTGACATCAGGACAGGCTTCTTAAAGCTTCTGGTGTTGGAGAGGAAGCTGTTCCTCCATATTAATTACAGCACAGCTTTTTCCAAAATGCAAAGAAAATATTGTTCACAGCACATTTCAGTTATGAGTTAACCATAATGCAGGGGCACACGTATGACTCATGGGAAAAATAAACAGTTGTTCACCTGAAATATTCCAGGTATTGTTTTCCACAGGGTATTCACGTTCCCAGGAGATGTAGGATTAGTTACATCTTCAGCACGTCACAGTGAGAGATAGTAGCTTTTCTCAGAAGAAGTTTAAATGCCAAGTATTATAACCTATAAGTAATGTTTCTGTGCTTCATGCATAGTGTGAATGCCCTAATAAAATGCATCTTTCATATGAGCACTAGAGATTGTCAAGGACATAGATTAAGTTTTTTTCCACTATTGCATTAATAATATAAACCAGATGGGGATTTTTTTTCCCTGACATTCCAGGTACCTGAGGTAATGGTAGACGTTGGAAAGCCACTCAGTGGCACATTATTTTTATTCTAAAAGGTTTTAATAAGTAAACGTGGTGCATAGCTATCTGCTGTTGGAGAAATAATGACGCAATGATGGTACTTCAGCTCTGTTTTAAGTGGCAATGTTCCAGTGTGTCAATGAAAAGATGATGAAGGTAACTTCATAGTTTTTTGCTATGGGGAAAGTCTGGTGCATTGTCTTCTACAAGAAAGTTGCTGAAATCATCACTGTCAGCAGATGATTGGATTGGTTACGAGCCTTCTGATTTGAACAAGATAGTGTAGTTATGTGATGATGTTTGTGGTTGAATGTAGGAGGTAAACACCTTCTGCAGGTGAATAAACAAAGCAGACCTAAGAAATCTGATAATTGCAGAAGCTCCTTTATATATGACAAGAAAAAAAATTCTATAAGCTGTAACGTAAGTAAGCGCACAAGTTTTGTTGGTTGGATTGCTGAGGCTTTTCCCTCAAATGCTGAAGCTAAGGCTGCTGCTATCTTGACTATTTTTCTAGTAAGAATAGGGCTTAAAGACATGATTTGGGTGTAGGAGAGGGAGATTAAAAAAAAGAAAATTGTAGATGGCATGTGTTGAGGAGGGAAGGAGAGGTGGGTATCTGTTGGCCTCAACATGTCAAAATTTCTTAATGCATCTGCTAGTAGATGCAAGTGTCCTTGGTTATGACTGGCTGAAAGCAGCTCACCTGTTTTTACCTCTTTGTGTTCTTAATTACAAGCTGGTTAGGAAATGGTATTTGTATGCACTTGACTACAGCAGTTGCCCGTAAGTGACTGGATGGCACAAATCCTGGCACTAGGATTTCACCTGGCTGCATATACCTTGAGCAAGTTTTGTTTTTCTCTCACCTCTTGTATTTGCAGATCATGCACAAATGCCCACTGTTCCCTCATGTTCCATAGCCAAAAGGCATCACCATTATAGGCTTCATTTTCAAGTTGTAGCTTGCTGATGACATGCAATTTCTCCCAGTTGTCCTGATTTTGCTGTATGGATCTTGCCCACATAATTGACAGTAATGATGGGAAGCACCACGCCCAGGATTGGTTATAGCCATTAGCTAATGATCTCAGTTACAGAGTAAGGCCCATCTTACATTTGCCAGGCTGGTGATGTAAGTAATAAATCCTTCCCTTGCCAGTACACATACGCCAACAAAAATCCCACTGAAGCCATGCTACATTAGCATAACTGGGGAGGTTGGAAGAACACACGTACTAGCCAAAAGCACAGGTTTTACAGTAGCAGCCCCACAAAGAGGCCCACATACAGCCTCCTCCATCAGGCTTGAGCAAAACTTGCTGTCCTCTGTTCTGAACTGGTTGCAAACATATTTGTTGGGTCCTGTTTAAAAGAGGAATGTATGGAGCATGCAAGAAGCACATCAAGTTTCATTTAGCCTTTTTTCTCGTGGAGTTGTACATCTCTTGCTGTTTGAGTAAGTAGCTGGGCAGTTGTTATATAGTTGAAAAATAATTGCTTGTGGCTTTGTGCCTGTAAAATTCTAAGATGTGTTCAACTGCATCTGAAACCAACTTGGACCAGCATTTCTGGAGTTTTAGTTGTCTACATCCAGTATTATAGTTAAAATTATCAGCAATGCATATATTCTTTATAATGCTGTACTAATTATGCATCATGGAATGTCCTTCGAGGAGGAAAGCTACTCAGATGTAATACGCTTTTCAATCCCTTCCCACCTCAGAAAAACGTCAGACATGCACTGAACTATATTAGGCTTTGGTACAAGATAGTTACACGTTCAGTCTTAAGTAGATGGTGGCATTAATGCATCATTTCCAACTGTGCTTATAAATAACAGCACTTCAAAGTCAGCATACGATCAAAAGGTGTGTTCCACATAGTGACAAAAGCTAGGCTGCTTCAACATACATGCATGCACGCATGCGCACACACACTGGTGCATATGCTGCATGTGCATAGATGTAGACTGCTGACTAACACAAGTTACCTGAGGTGAGAACAGCAAACGTGTATTATACTGAGCTTTTCTTCTGTGCTTCAGGGGGAAGCTCATGTCAGTGAAGTGAAAACTTTTCTTTCCAAGGGCTAAGTCCTGTGCAGCCCCAGTGCCTCCTGAAGGAAGTTAAATGCCTTCCAATTTAATTGTGCCCCTCAGAAATTTGTGCCCCAGTAGTCTCCGAACAGTAACAAAAGGCTTCCAAGATTGAAATCAATAACTTGTTCGTAATCCCCTTCTTGGAATTTGGTGTAAATAAAAGTCTCTTGGGAAGGAGTACTAGAAATACAGATTTCCTGACACTGTAACCTAATTCCTGGAAGCATTCCTTTCTCAAGACTGTGGTAAATGCTACCACAGCTTATTGGGGTTTGTGTGAGGGGCCACAGTAGTAGAAATAAGTAGCAGGTAGTTTAAACATCAGCTCAGAATCTCAGCATGGGAATATTGCAGAAGCAGGGAAAATATATATGGCCGTAGCTCTGAACATTGCAGCTGATGCAAGACTAGCTGGAAGAAAAGAGCAAAGCTGCATAGTCTGGTTCTCAAAAACCTTGTCTGAGAGCTTCGCTTGTGACAGAATGTAGCTAGCTTTAAATGCAATATAAACTAAAAGCGTACAAGAAATGCTTTTATTTTTTCTAGAGAATGGTGCTGGAGGTAGACAGGCTCAAGTTAAAGTCTTTGCCATCTCTGTATTTTTTCTCACCAAGGCATCATCCACCATGTGGAGAAAAGCTCCATACTACCTGTGTGATACCAGTGCATATGGGTGGGCACTGTACCTTCTAAAATCCCACAAGGTTCCTTTTTCTTATGTTTGTTTTAAACAATTGGAGCCATCTATAACTTTCTCACGCAGGTTTACAAAACACACAAACTTGTCAACGCCGGCGTATCTGATATCACCATCCGTCCAGACAAGAAGATTTTAGCCACAGCAGGGTGGGATCATCGCATCAGGATCTTTGGCTGGAAAAAACTGAAGCCCTTAGCAGTGCTGGACTACCACACAGCAACTGTCCATTGTGTGTCCTTCTCAGATCACAGAAACCCCAGTGAGAGACTGCTGGCAGCTGGCTCAAAAGATCACCGCATCAGTATCTGGTCAATGTATACTCAGACGTGACATGTTCTGCACTGTCATGGACTAGGAAAACAGGATTGGTGAAGCAATTCTTTACACTGTAATTCAAACCTGGATGTGGGGAAGTAGCAGGATGTATTTCCAGGCTGAAGTGAGAGTCCTAGGCTAATTTTTGTGCTGCTTGTTCAAGCTGCCAAGTTTTGTTTTCCAGAGAGAGAAATGGATTTTTAAAATTCCTAACAAGCAGAGCAAGGCCAGTCACAAACGAAGACATGGAACAAGTCACTCTGAGTTCTGCTACAGGTTTTGCAACAGCTTTTCTTTGGCAGGTTGCTTAAATAACTTGTGCCAACATCTTCTTTTGTGAAAAAGGACTGGAATCCCTCAGACTGCAGTGGGGGCACAATACGTCTGTTTGTGAGTCATTTATGTATCCAAGAATTTGAATCAGTGTAAATTATCACTCTTTCTTGAAAAGTTATACCCATTAAACCACCTCCAGTGGTTTCTCATTGTCAGTTACTTTTTCTTCCCCATAACTGAAAGGCTATCAGAACAACCTTGATTTGTTCACACTTCTGTCAGTTTCTAACTTAAACCAACAGCCAGGAATGTGGCAAGGGAAGGCCTTTGGCATTTATGAATTTCATTATGTCTCCTGTCACCTCAAGCCTCACAATTAATCACAAGAAAGAAAGGGGAAAAATCTTCCCCTGCACTGCACTGCAAAGCTATGTAAAGCCTTTTACAGAGCCAGTGCTAAATCCGTTCTATAGACAGACTAGCTGAAGGATTTAAACTCAGCAATCCAATTAGCGCCCTTCTCCTTGGAGAGTTAGGGGTAAGTTTCAGCATGGCAAGTCTGGGATTCAGCTACGCAACTCCCATTAACATTTAGGAGAACTGCATGGATAAATCCCTATCCACAGAGTGCAAATGGCTCTGTTAACTTATCATCTCTACAGTCATGGAAGCTGAAATTCATTCATGAAGGGGTTTTTTTTGTTTGAATAATGAAGCTGCATTTGCATTCTTTTAAAGCCTATTAGACATATAACAGCCTGTTCATAGACATCTTACTGTTGTATTCAATCACAAA